AGAGTAGAAAAGGAAAGAAACAAACAAAATTATAATAAATAGGCTTTATGTGCTTTTTCTAAATAAAGAGCAATGCTGGATCATTTTTGACTGATTCATCATATTCACACCAAACATTTTTATATACCAGGGTGTTAAACAGAGCCAGTTTTGTTCAGTCGTCGCTCTGGTAATTTACAGAACTAAAGCTGCTATTAGTATCAAAGCTAATCAGGTTTCTTATGATTCATCTGGATGGTCTTTATGAACTTACTGATTTCCTGCTTTAAAACCTGGACACATTTCCTATTATGAATAAAGTTTTACAATCCAAGATCATAGTATTTTGACCCAGTAATATATTTGGTGGATACACATGTGTTAGTGTGTGACAAAAGGTTTTTATGTGTGTTAAAGGGATAGTTCAGATATTTTTTGTTATGGTTTTAAAGCTGTTTTTGAAATTCTAGTTGCAGACAGAACAAGGAACTTGAGGAATCAAAAGGAAACCAAGACTGGTACTCATAATACTCAATGAACTGCCCCACTGACACACAAAGACACACAATATGCAAATACTTTAACAAAATGAGATAACAAACACCTGTGAAGAAGAGAAGCAGGAGTGTGAGGAGCTGGGGGGGGGGGTGAGAGACGAGAGCAGGTAACAAACACAGAATTAAAAAAACAACACAAATCCTTGTAGTTTTAAACAAAGAAGTCTCTGTAAAAAGTTTATAAACAAATTTAGGATGTGGATAACATGTTTAATCCACACTAATATCAAATCTGAAAGATTTAAAAAGAGCATTATAAACCCTACAAAATAACACCAGAATCTAGTGCTTACTTCAAGTATGAGGTAAGTACGTTTGTTTGGGTCTAATCACTCATGGTTTTTGCTGCGATTCATAYCTGAACCAATGGGGCCTTTGTGATGATTTTGCCTTGTTATCTATTTTTGATCATAACTTCCTCAATGTTCAAGATATTTCCATGAAATTTTAGGAAAAAATCCACATTCTATTGTTAGTAGGAAGCATCTTGTAGCCTAAAAACAATAAGAGCATAATAAAACCTAATGTTAAAGACGCAGAATATATAAKATAAATATGTAAGGCTCTTGTCACAAAACTGCAACATCAAATCAGCTTCATGTGTCTTGAAGGCCAGGAAATGAATATCATACAAAAATAAAATAAATAAATAAAACTTGGACATTTGTTTGCAAACAAAGCTCTTCAACCAATGACGTACGTGTCAAGTGACAAAGATGAGTTTTAACGCACTTTGCTGTTGCTATTCCATAGCGTAAAAAACATCAACTTACCTATTTAAGGGTCAGTAGAAAAAAATGGGTGATTTAATTTTAGCCTAATTTCAATGAAGTGGCTCTTCAATACTAATCGACAGAAATGAAAAACTGAAAATGAGTAAATAAATAATAATAATGCTCAGAGCAATGTTGCACAATCCAGTCACAGCAGTTTAAGAAGAAAATAGCAGCAGCTGCTGATGACACATGAACATCCCTAACTTTCCTCAAAACCTCACTTCAAACAATCTGAAATGTTGCTTTAATTCTAATTGCATAAAACTGAAAAAGTAGTACTGTAAAAGAAAATGGAAAAAAGACAGAAAGAAAGCATGACATTTCTGTCAAAACAGCCCTGATTACATTTGGAGAATACTGTCTAATTGGATTAGAAACCAGAGCTACTTCATTAAATGTTGATCATATCTGTAAATGGAAGAACAGAAACCAAAGACGTTCCTACAGGGTGACTTGAGTTGACCAGTCCTTAATCCAGGATATGGCTGCAGAATGGTAATCCAGTGAGGCTGGACGCTTGTTAATGGTGACAAACTGAACGCGAAAAACAAAAAAGAAACGAGAGCGGAGATGACGGGAATGTTGGAGTAAGTTTCCATCACATCCTCTGCTGACAAGCTTCATTTCATTAATGCCCCCCTGCACTGCTTTTTTTGTCTTCATTCTTAACAGTCTCTGCATTTCCTACTCTAGCCTCACCCCCCATCACCCCCTTCTGCTCTGTCTTTCTCTCTCCTGGCATGTTGTGACAGGGTGTAGCAGTGTGTTATACAGGGTTCCACTCACCAAGTGCACATTATCCTGTAAGGCATAATACCCAGGTTGGAACGAAAGGCCAGGCTTTGAAATTACAGCTTACGTCGCTTAGCACTCAGCACAACAGTCTGACTCACATGAAAATATGTGTGTGTGTGTGTGTGTGTGTGTGTGTGTGTGAACTTTATGATTGTAAAGGCACTGGTTGGCACTGTATGTGTCAGTAAAATATGACATCTTAGACATACCAGTGCAGTAATGCCTTTAGACATATTTTAAATGGATGCAGAACAGAAATCACAATTAGTTTGATGAGTATTATATGTTTTGTCTGTTCAAGTAACATTGGTTATTAACTTGCGTAATTATACTAACTTTGTTTATGATTAAATTCATATTTTACCTGTTGACTCCTGAAATCGAGCCAGTCATTTTTGTAATCAAACTCAAATTTATATCACATATTATTTTTCATGCTTGCAAGAATTGGCATAGCGATTCAGAAAAACATTGTTATAAATTTCAAAAATGTAATTTGGTATTATTGGCTGAGCTTGGCTTGGAAGTAAAAAACTGTAGCTTTGAGGATAATAGATTGTAAACCATTGATCTAACTGATGAGGACTTATTAGACATGTCACACTCACTCCTTGAAATGCTGCTTTGGCAATCTGATCTTTGGATGATCTTTTGAGGATAGATGTATGTATGTATGTATGTATGTATGTATGTATGTATGTATGTATGTATGTATGTATGTATGTATGTATGTATGTATGTACAGTATGTATGTATGTATGTATGGATGGATGGATGGATGGATGGATGGATGGATGGATGGTCTGATAATTAGATAGATTCAGATTTATGAGTTTTCCATTTTCAATGACATTAACAGTTGATCATAACAAATATATGGTACGATGGAGAAAGTTTGGTAAAGCATATGAAGCAGAAAGAACAAATTGTAACCTAAAATAAACAAAACTTAAAAGATATACGCAGCAAGGTGAAATTTCATCTATCTTCTCCTGAATCATATTTGTTAGTCATCCAGCTCTATATTAATACAGGTTAAAATAATTACAAGAGAGAAATACGTGTTTGAATGAGGTAAATACATAAAGCCTCTCTCATCCATCCATCATATCATAAATCAGTCTTGTTATTGTTTGGCTTTGTGTTTTGTGTGTGTGGCAGGAAACCTGTTAAGTTGTTTCTGTTTTATTAAATCTTGGTTGGACAAAGCTTTGCAGCCATAAAACGCATCGATTCCTGTTGCTCACATTGTGGCAATAATTGCACACAAACTCACACACTCACAAGTCTCTTTATTGATGTGTCTTTCACGCCGAATGTCTACACACAGTTTGTTCATGACACACTGTTTGTCATTCAGTTTCAAACAAGAATAAGCAAAAGGAACTGAGAAATTTGCCACCAGAGCTTCATCAAAAAGCACGTTTCCAAAAGAATAAAAACACTCAGAGTTGTGGCTTTAGCAGAGTTCACACCACAGTAGTATTCATCGACATTTGAACACCTTTTACAGTGTGTCTCTGGGTGTTTCAGAATGAAAATCTGTTGTGTCTATCTGTGGGACAGGTTTTCAGTAGTCAGCTATTCAGTGTTTAACTCAAAAGTCTCTGGAGTCAATGAGGCAAAGACAGAAATGTTTGGTTCAACATAGAAAAGCTAGCATGACTTTATTCCTCAAAACACACACACACACACACACACACACACACACGCACGCACGCACGCACGCACGCACGCACGCACGCAC